TACATGTACATGTAACTTGCTTACCAGGAATTTTAATAAGAAACTCAGCTATATGGTACATACATCAAATCATATTACTAGATACAACATTTTGTTTGTTAGAAATTTTGTTCTTATTGCCAAACCCCTATTTGTTCTACTTTGTATTTTGTGGAGATGTCTTTTATGATTGTGTATGAACTTGAGACACCATATTTCATCAGCCCCTGTACATTAGTCTTGGACCTGGCTGGATCAATACTCCTGTTAGACATGTCTGTCTTCACCTGCCCTTGATTAGGCACTATTCTGCACGGTTGGGCCTAGGAAAAAAATGTTGTGTTTCCTGTTTCCCGACCGACCCTAGAAAAAAATGCCGACCCTAGCCTATTTTTGTGTGGACACCAGTAAGGGACAAAAATTTTCAAGCTGATCGACCTTTTCTAGCTCCATGATCTGACACCTGAGTGATGAGACGTTGCACAATCGGTTTTCCAACATTGACATTGAAAATGTCCTCATGGAAGTTTTGTTCAACTGTAATGTATAAGTTGGATCACTAGAGATCGCCAAAGTGTAGTAAAAAAAAAAAAGAAAAAGAAAAAAAAAGATAATGTCTACCTACCGACCCAAATTTATTCAGGACTGAAACAGGAAACACAACAGTTCTTTCCCCAGGCCTTGCTATTGGTCCTGCCCTTGATTATGATTGATGCTCCATCTGATTGGAGACTTTTCTTCAAACCACCTGCAACTGCATTACTACCCGGCTTCTCGGAATGTCTTTGTATAGTATAATAATATAGAAACAGAACTGGATTAACCGAGGACCAAGGATGTGAATTGGACTGTTTCTCGCAACATTTGCTCTACAAACTACATGTATATACTGTAAACCACAATTTTTTTGCAGTAACTTTCGTATTTGCGGTTTTCGCAGTCACTGTACCGCAAACTTATCATTACCATGAAGACATACAATTCGTAGACTTTCGAAATGCTGCACCTGTCATAACTGCGAATGTACAGTTCCGCAAACATGTCCATTTTTCTCAGACGGCTAACTTTTTTTGCTACCGCAAACATAAAGTGATTTACAGAACTTGTCTCTTGTCTTGTCTCACATCTCAAGGTTACACTACTTTGTATAATCAATCTTGTTGACATTTTTAACCAATTGTAGCTATTAGAAAATTGATAAATGCTAGTCCTACATGTAAGAGCTATAGCAACCTAAAATAGTATATAGCAACGTAACTGCCATAAGTTCATTTGGGGTAACTTTGATATTAATAACATAAGTTGTGTAAGTAAGACAGACTAATTGCTGGCTTAGCTATTTTAGCTATTACTGTCTTTATATACGTACTTAGAAAATTCATAAATGCTAGTCCTGCGTGTAATAGGATCGTACTTAGCTGCCATAAGCACATTTGGGGATAAACGTATATGTACACTCACTGTATAACTTTATAAGAAAGAGGGGCTACATTTGTATCTCTAGTTCAACTATATATGATGACTGCCTGCCTAGAGTGACCTTAAGCTTGTAGTCAGCTAATGACTGCAAATGTTCAATCCCATGAGACTGCATAGGAAATTCTGCTGCTTTCCTTTTCTTTTTAATGTAATTAAAGCACTTCCTGCTCTTCTGAAAAATCAACAATTATAAGGTGGACTTCTGGATAAAGTATTGATTGAGACCATAGATGCATGGTAATTCTTTCCTTTCAATATTTACCTGTAGAGTAGAGAAATCCCACATGCACGTTGTACATGCATATAACTGGGTATATGCAGGTTAGTGCAGGTAAAATTGGAGCTGTGCAGGTATTTCTGATGTCTACCTGCACCTAACCTGCACTGGTCCATGTTCTGGGTATATGCAGGTTAGTGCAGGTAAAATTGGAGCTGTGCAGGTATTTCTGATGTCTACCTGCACCTAACCTGCACTGCTCTATGTATGAGTTTATACAGGTGTTTTTGGATTTTTTTTTTATGTTGTTAAATTGACTGATACCACCTATGAAAGAAATAACGACAATGGTTTCTGAACATTTTAAGTATGATCCATGTAGAACTAGATACAGGTGATTTTCAATGATACCATGTAGGTATGCAGAAAAAGTATTTCAAGCCCTGCATTCCCATGGATTAAATGAACTGTTCTGTTAATATAGCTATAGTTACTTCAACACGCATACAAAACAAAAGCTAGCTGTGAAATACATAATACAATTGGTCCTCAATTTACTGTGTGGGCTGAAATGGCTTCTAATGAAGGCTAATGTCCATCAGAGGACTTAGCAGCAAATTCCCATTCGCTAGTATTGAACGGAATACTGTAAATCACTGAATGTTCATGGTAGCAAAAGTTCGCAGTCTGAGAAAAATGGGCATGTTGACAGAACTATACATTCGCGGTAGCAGCAAAAAGAAAGTCGGTGACTTACATTTTGTACTTGTTCACGGTAATGCTAAGTTTGGAGTACAGAAGTCATCACAAAAATCGTGAATATAAAATTAGACCACAGCAAGTAAATTTTATGGATGACATCTTCCGCAGACTCCAAATCTAATATATAATGCGAGCGGCTGAAAAAAAAAACAAGGCGGGCCAAAAAAAAAAGGTTCCTACATTTAAAAAAATTTTTACTCAATCATTGTACAAATGGTTTTTATTCAGTGGGAGCATCACATATACACAGCCAACATCACATATTACTGCATCAAAGTAAGAAACAAAACATTAAATCAGAGCCTTTTCTTGTCTCCTCTCTTCATAGTAATCTGCCATCCACCTTCCGGCATTGTAACAAACATCTTTGCCCATTTTCGGCATGTTGACCAATGTCAGAAGGCAGCAAAATTTCTTGTTGTTTTTTTCCAAAATCAGGCGAAAATTAATGTGCGCGCTGATGTCATCCATGAAAATTTCTTGATGTGGCCTTAGCATGAAAAAATCATGATTTTACAGTAATCTCTCAAATCCACAGAGGGTCCTATCAAACAAAATTATTAGCAGCCGTCAAGAAGTGTACGAAGAAAAAAATATTCTTGAGCAGTTTAGCTTTGCCCTTGGAAGAAGAAAAACACAATTTTCTCAAGTGATGTGGAAAATGGGCATCCAGCTAGTGTACAAATGTACACTTGTAGTGTGACTGTGAGATGGGGTGCGTAGGAGTAATGGGTCATTCAGCCTTCATGGCAAATTACACTACATGTCAGTTTGGAATTGGGAACATTGGGTATGGACCTCACATAGTGTTTATACTTGAGCAAAATGGGTGATGAACATTGTACATTGTACTAGTAGTACAGGGATCAAAATACTTTTTTTGGCGACGTCTCAGGGAGGAGCCTAATGGTACAGTATTGTGTGCAGTTCGCAAGAATTCTAGGAATTGTACAGGACTTTTGTCCACAGGCATGGAATGTCCACAGGAATGTCTCCCAGCTCTGTTTGCTGACATGCCCACATTCCTGGAAACCTTGGGATAACCTGGATGCCCTAGTTTCTGTGACCCTGGGGCTCGTTCACTATATTCTCAGGGGAGGGTAGTGTACCAAGGCTTTCTCAAAATCACAAAACAGTAACCCTAACAGCAACCACCGTCGCCATGGCAATGTATATGTTTTCATTGCCAGTCTTGCAATAATGTTTCTGCATACCTACACTGGTGCAGGTAACATTGAAAACTACCAACACCAGCAAGTTTTACCTGTACCACTCAGAAATAAGGATCATACTAAAAACCGTTCAAAAACTACTATTTGTATAGGTTAGTTCCACCTGCATTAGTGCAGGTTTATGCAAAAAAAAAGTATTTTGAGCCTTGTCTTGCAAAGACTTGCAAAGACTTGCAAAAACTTGCTTCTAGCCTAGTGCCCTTGAAAATCAAAGAATGACTTTCTACATTTCAAAGTATTCGGTGGTACATGTATAGTTGATGTGGTCGCCTGTAAAGAGCTTTGTATTGATGAAAAGGGGACTTCTTAATGGCAGCTTCACCTGAAATTCCAAGTCAGAAGGGCATCGCGATAATGTTTGCCCCCCAGCAGGTATCTTTTGAACTGCAGGAGATGATGGAATAGCCGGATCAAATTCAGTTGATAGGGGGCCTTTGATTTTAGTCTGGGTTATGATTGGGGAGGAGATATATGATATTGTACTGTCATTAATAAACTCATTAAGATTAGGCATATTTTATCAAGGGAGGTATTAAGAAAATTGTTATATTAATTCCGATGTTGGACCATTGCCTAGAATATGAAAATGAAATCGCTTACATATATTCCTATCTATGGCTATGTACATGTAGCTTGTAAAACTTTGTTTATATATATCATAATCAATTGTAATATTTTAACAATGTGCTAATTTAAGGTGCCAAGGTAGTCTTGTGGTTAGGATTGTTGACTCAGAATCTGAAGGTCATGGGTTTGAATCCCTGACAGCCTCACTTCTTGGTCGTACTAAAAAAGAAATAATCATGTACCTAGCTTTGGTTTGAGACGGCCTCTCAAGCACATAAAAGATCCCACCACACTTGCAAAGAATATCAGTCCTTCCCGGTGTGAGTGGTTCAAACCTTACAAGTTACAGTCTGGTCTTATTATACAAATGTATATGCAGCTTGTACTTACTGTACAAAACTAGACTACATGTACAATGTACAAATGTAAGACTAGTGTGACTTACATCTAAAGGTGGCTCACTGGTTATGCGAAATGAAACAAGATTTAAAAAAGTTGCTCTTTTGTCCTTGTTAATGTGGCCTATCCTTTTCCAAAAGGAGTAAATTGTATGTAGTACTTCTGGCATGGAATGAATTTAAAATCTTAATGACAAATTAAAGTACTAGTAATAATTATCATTTGAATCCTGGTGACCAGGTTTTGGTTGGTAAGTGAATTAAGTAGCAAGTTGTTGGCATGTCTAACATGCATACACTTTAATCCAACATCTTGTATATTGTAACCATTCTTGTTTGTTTGTTTGTTTGTTTGTTTATAAACAGGCAGCTGATTTGACCAAACCAGTAGACAAACGTGTCTACAAGGGAACGTTACCGACGTGCCATGATTTTAACCAGCTGACCTGCACCAGTGACAGCGTCAGCTTGTTAGTAGGATTTTCAGCGGGGCAAGTGCAACTCATCGACCCAATCAAGAAGGAAACTAGCAAGCTTTTCAATGAAGAAGTAAGAACTTCTCTTTATGTGTGTGCTCAGTAGTTAGTACTGCTATGTTTAGAAGGCTTTACACCCAGAAAATATGTGTGTAAACTATTCAACATTCTATGATTACAATATAAATTATAATAAAGAACTAAGACCACAGACAAGCAGTTATTGCAAAGCATAATAACCCCAAAGAAAAAGAATAGTGCTATTGGATAAATATTAACAAAATAAGTATATGATTAATATCAAGATACATGTACATTGTAGTTGTTCTGCGTATGCCTCTGGCTCAGTCTTTGTATAGGTGACTGTATGTTTATCAAACATATCCTTGCCTCCCACTGATACAGCTTGTCTTTGCCCCCGTGTTCTACAGAGACTAATAGACAAGAGCAGGGTAACGTGTATAAAGTGGGTCCCCGGGACGGAAAACATGTTCCTGGTGTCGCACGCCAGCGGGCAGATGTACATGTACAACGAGGAGCACCCCTGCGGCACCACCGCCCCCCACTACCAGCTGCTCAAGCAGGGCGAGGGCTTCTCCGTCTGGACCTGCAAGTCCAAGTCCACGCGCAACCCCATCTTCAGATGGGTGGTGGGCGACGGGGCGCTCAACGAGTTCTCCTTCTCCCCGGACAATAAGCACATCGCCTGCGTCAGCCAGGACGGTTTCCTTAGGGTTATAGATTTTGACCAAATGGAGTTAAAGGGGATGATGAAGAGTTATTTCGGAGGACTGCTGTGTATATGTTGGAGCCCCGACGGGAAGCTTGTGGCCGTGGGGGGCGAGGACGATCTCGTGACGGTCTGGTCGTTTGCGGAGAAGAGAGTGGTGGCGCGGGGGCACGGACACAAGTCGTGGGTAAGTGTGGTCGCCTTCGACCCCTTCACCACCATGGTGGTGGAGGGCGAGGCGGGGGACTTCAGCGGGAGCGACGACGAAGGCGAGGACTCTCAAACGAGTAGAAACAACCCGGGCTCCAATCCCGGCTCCAACCCCGGCTCCATGAGGGAGCGGGCGAACAGTAGCCACTCGCGGGCGTCCATCTGCAACGCGGACACCAGCAACGTCACCACGTACCGGTTCGGCTCGGTAGGACAGGACACGCAGCTCTGCATCTGGGACCTGACGGAGGACGTCCTGTACCCGCAGCAGCCTCTGACCAGAGCGCGGACTCACACCAACCTCACCAACTCCCTCCCCCTACCCTCGGGCAGCGCCACCATGCCCAGGTGCAACAGCCTCCCCCACAACGCAGTCCACTCCACGGGGTCGGCGCCAAACTCCAAGGAGAAGAGCCTGACCGACGGCTCCATCGCCTCCGGAATCACCAGCAAGTTCGCCACATTGACTCTCGGGGACAGGAGAGACAAACACGAGAAGCACGAACACAAGCGGAATTACAGCCTGTCCAGCAAGAGCAGCGACAAGTTGAACTCGATAAGCAAAGGTCACAATGCTCACTCCAAAATGTTGGAAGACTATGCCAGGCTGGGCACTCCCTGCTGTCCGAAACTGGATGAGGTGCCTCTATTAGAACCTTTGGTGTGTAAGAAGATAGCGCAGGAGAGACTAACAGCCCTAGTGTTTAGGGAGGACTGCATAGTAACGGGATGTCAAGAGGGGTTCGTCTGCACATGGGCCAGGCCTGGCAAAGTGGTGGGTGTCTGCAATGTATGACAGTTTTCTACTTATTACATGTATATATGTCATGTCCACTCACATTCTTGATTTGATTTGATTTGTTGAAATTGCAACTGTTACAGTACAAATATACACCTGGGACATAGGCAGCTGTTGCTGGTGTTGTGTCCCACAAATAGAATATTACAAACACATACCAAAATATAATAGATTGTACCTACTAGTAAAAAGACAATAACAATAACAATAAAGTACATTTTTATGATATTTCTTTAACCTTCTTTCTGCTGAAGTAGCCTTTTGGCACAGTAATTTGTATTGATTACAAGTTAAATGGTGTACAAAAAAAAAGTCATATGTATCATTATGATCTAGCAGCATCATCATATGATTCATAAAGGAGAAAGGATGTGAAATACCAAATTTCATGCTTATTTTGTTCACATAATACTTTCCATTCACACTAAGAAATACCAAACGCATTTTCCGGAGCCATATATACCTAAACTGCACATCCCCAAGTTCCAAAAAGTGAAGACAGGAAAAATCCTCATGTTTTATTCCATCAATACCCTTTCACCTCGGATGTGTTTGTTGAGCCCCAAAATAAATATGCATGGGTATGTCATGATAGAAATGAGAATGTGGTATGAGATGTCCCCTCTTGTAAGCTGTTTTTGCCATCAAATCAACCGCATGTGCAGTTTAGCTTTGTTTCTGCTGTGATGTACATGTATCTATAGACTTTCATCATACAGTGTATCAATTTGTCTTCAGGCCACACCAATTTAATTTGTTGGTTCTTGGATTCGCCTCTTCATTTTTTTCTGATTTGCAAAAAACAAAAGATTCTGGTTCTGAATGAACTAAAAATTGCTCATATTTTGCCCACAACCATTGAGTCCTTAATTTCTTCCTAGTTGTTACAGTTTTCCATCTACATTGTATCAATGAGGTGGTTTGATTCAAAGTTCGCTGTTTAAATATCAACCCAGCCTTTTGTGTTGACTTCATGGCTCGTATTGTCATTTTGGGCTATAATAGGAGGCCTAGACCCGTTTTTATTTTTTTTTTTCACCCTGTCGCTTCATTTTTTTGTTAAAAAATCCAAGAACCAACAAATTAAATTGGTGTGGCCTTATCCATATGATATGTATCATACACAGCATGACAGTGTAACTTCCAGGAGTTTAAAATGTTCTTTTGTCATTTTGTTCAGTTTTTGACCAGGTACATTGTACTATTTTTAAACCTTCTATTGTCACACATGAAAAAACATAACTGAAGAGGGGGTATACATATGTATATGTACAATGTAGTTACCCTATGGTTTTCTTTTACACAGTGCTTATTTTATTGCTCTATAAAGTATTCGCTATTTGTACAAACTGAAGTATGTAGACCTTAGTCCGTACCAATTTGATTATAAATATTCTTTATTGACACAACAAAAAGTACAGGGACTTTTGTATGGTCTTCTACAACTAAAGGTCTATACAATCATGTAAAATAATACACGTAAGTTGCAAAAGATAATTTGCCTTCATTATAAAATCTACAAGTGGTTAGGAAGGTTGAGCACACAAGGCGCACTGACTAAGTTTTTGGTGCCACCACAAACTACCAGAATGTAAACAAACATGGCTGACGGGTTTGTTTCTAGCCTTTAAACATACTCGTGAGGCATCATAATTTGGCATCTATACTTCCCAAATGGAATTTGTATTGAGTAGTGTTCACAGTTGATTCAACTTACACTTTGTAAAGAAATGACCAGAAATTTTACTTTTTGTATCGTCCTTTTCAGGGTTGGACAAGTCCCATTGCCTACTTGCCCAGGGCAAGTAAAAGCACTGTTCTGTCAAGTAAATATCCCCCAATCGGGCAAGTAAATTTTTTGGATGCAGTGTTTGGAGCAAAATTACACAATCATCATTTTAAAATCAAGATATTATATTGATACCAGCCCTTTTGTAAGAAAAATATCTAAGTACCCTTTACATAATAGTTTGGTAAATACATGTAAAGCAAGCAACATTATAAACTTTTAAGTGTTTTTTTATTGAAAAATAAAATAATTCTGCAAGTAAAATGCATAGAAAAACATCATATTTTGGGGCAAGTGAAAAGTTGGTTTGGGCAAGTGGATTTTTGAAAACTTGTCAACCCTACTTTTGTTCCATAATGCAGCTACACACTACAATACACTACAACCATATAATATAGCCAGTTCTGTGTTGTTGATGTCTCCCTGTGTGTTTTTGTCCCCCACACAGGGTCTGAGCCAGACCTCTTCCACACACTCCACGGGCGGGACGGTGGTATAGTCCCAGTGTAGGCGGGCAGGGCCCTGCATCACGTCACCTGGAGGCAGCACAAGCCAACACACCTGTACATGTACACCTGTAGACAACAGCTCCCAGTTTTTCTGTACACTCCTTGTATAAGAAGCATGTGGGTTTCCTTACGATCCATGTGTTCTGTCTGTGAGTAGACAAATATAATGTGTTAGGACTGGCACACCAAGATCTTAATATTTAAGAATCACCAGCAATGGCTTGAACTTAACATATAGCCGATTACTTCAGTTGTAGTCTTAGGTTCGACTTGAAGTATTCTTCCAGGAGCATCAGCCTTCCTTGTCCCACCTAAAAGAACACACACTATAAACTGATACGAAAACAAAAGAACTTTCTCTAACACAAAACTACAAGCTTCTGTGTTTAAAAGAAGAGCCTACGTAGAATCTGCTGTCATCTGACACGGTCTTTCTCTTGTTAACTGTCAACACTCCCTCCTCAATCTTGGAAAAGAAAAAACTAGAATGACATACATGTATACTCCTACTTACCTATGGAATACATTAAATACTTGCTTTTTCAGTGCCTGGCTAGAAGTTTTAAACTATCAACTCTTGAAGTAAACTAAATATCATTTGAAGGGAAGGGATCTTCGAGAAGACGTTGGAAAGGAAGAGAACACTAAATTCAGTCCTTACATACCTTTGAACAGCCCAACGCTAAGTTAAGGCAGTTAAAGTTTTTTGCTGTAATATGGCAACAACAACAAAAAGTACACCACACTTGCAATAAGGCACATTGGCAATAACATTTCTATCCTGTAATATCTTCATGACATTTTGTATTGTCCTTCAATTCTAAATGTTTGCCCTCAATCTAAAGGCCCGTCTTGAAAAATGGTTCGAACAAGGACAACAAACTTCTGTAACTTACATAAAGTACGGAACTTGTCACTTACCACCAGTTGGTATGAAAGAAAGATACAATTTGAAACAGTCACTCATCCAAAATGGCTAGCCTCCACCAGGCCTTCCTACGGGGGTGCGGATCCTAGAATTCAGCAAAAGGAAAGGATAATTAATTGGCTAGGAGAGTCAGTCTGCGGGAGGTTAGTTTCCTCCTCCAAACTGCGTGCGGGTTAATGAACTCTACGGTGGCCAAACTCCCCTGGCCAATTATCCTCCCTATTTGGCTTAATTTTACTATTTTGAACCCGTGTTGTTAGTCTGTTGGAGACTTCCAAATGGCTAGGCCGCTCACTCAAATCCATGTGTGTCTGAAATAATGCATTCCTTCAACAAGTAAGGACATCCCCATACATGTATGCCTCTCTCAGTTCTATCATTCATTGTCTTAAATCTGTGGGGATACAGTAGTCACTAAGAAAGTCGTTTTTTAAATGAATGAACAGGACTCTTAGCAAAGAAGCATGTTTTCTTTTCCGTCACTAAGATTGCTTGGTGTTTAATCAAAAGTATCAACCTATTTATTCTGAATAGTAACTAAGAATATCATAATTGCGTATCAAGTGTAAAATGCAAAACTGGTGCTTTTTTAGTGATGGTGCATGTACCTAATGTGCTAATTTTATGGTACATGTAAATAATAAAAGTTCCTAATAATTAACTTTAATTGAACGTGAAAGCCACCTTTGCCTTTGTCCTCGCATGAGATATAATTAATTCTTGTGGTGTTTGTTTGTTTGTTTGTATTTAAAGAAAATGTACAAAAGATTTCCATGAAGAAGATATGACAATTATGAATTGAATGTTAATTGAAGAGAAAGGATGCAATGATACAGAAATATGAATAGGAGCCTTATGAAGGGAAAATTAGTCAAATCTATCAAAAAATAACTGACGAAAATAATGTCCTGACAAAACTGCAGAATACAGAAAATACTGTATGTAATTCATAATTTTCAAACCGATTAGAGCATATCCACAAATAAAATGGAATCATCGCAAGTAAATTTTTAATTGTCCTTGGTCCACATCTGCTATTTCTACTGTCTTCATCAAGTTAAAACTGAAGTTGTCTCACAGTTCTGATTCTCAGATTCAACACGCTCTATAGGCAGTACCCTAGCTTCCATTCCAGTTACGATTCAGGCTAATTTAAAGTTGGAAAGAAAGCCATACAGCACATGTAGCCATTTGCCCAATGCAGTATATATACTGAGAAAACATTTCAAGAGGCCTTTTTGTTGTTATTACTATTAGGAAGTAGAAGTAATGAGGAAAGCTGACCCAAGTTGGAGTTGATCTTGTAGCAACATGTGCACGAACTAAAGTACTGAATTTGAATTAGATTCAACGTCTGTTTGACAAATCAAAAGTAAGTATGGCACAATGTTAGGAAAGACCTCACTAAAAGATGTATTGAAAATGCCTCTGCAAGTTTCCCGGATCGGTAGAAAAGCTGTTTCAAATTTCTTACAGAAATGACACAATCAAGCAATCAAGTCTTTGTAAATGAAGTGATGATGGTCTGCGTACATCTAGCCAAAGAAATGTCAAAATATCAGGCTAGCTTTGTTGCCATTACTAAAGAGAATCATGAAAAGTAAATCTGTTGGTAGTTCTAAATGCTGTGACTGTATCTCCTTAAAAGTTTTTATACCACGAAAAGAATTGCTAATATTAATGCATGGAATATCGTGACTGTTGTGTTCAAGTCTTGGGAAATCCATTCCAAACTAAAAACTAATTTATCCATAACAGAACGGTCCTGTCTATCCTTTTTAAGTTTGTAAACCTGTATGTTGCTGACAAGGTACAACATATTTACTTGAAGTAAAATGACATAATTTACAATGTGCAAATGAATGGAACTGGCTGGTATTGGGTTACTAGTATTGGGTCCTTTCTGGATTTAATCTTGCTATAGGTAATAAGAAGAATCCTTTTCAGTTTCTGTTCTATATCTGATTTCCTTATGCAACAACCACACATTCTAAAATGCTGTAGTTTCCTTTCGTAGCATGTATAAATTTCCAAGGGTGTGTTGAAGAAAAGTATGGTAGCTGTCTCCAGTGTGTAAAATGGTCTGAAGAAGCAAAACCCTCTCTTAAAGATTTACTGAAGTCCTACAGCTCTTGATAGTAGTGAAGATAGAGAGCTATCATTATGACCTTTATTTGTACAAGTGATTTACCCATTCCACATGCTCTAAGCAGTGTACAGTCTTTTATTAAGTATTTTATAACGAGCACTCTTGCCTAGAAGACACTTGTTTGAACATGATTTGATGTGTTGACAATAGAAAGTAATGTAAAACCATACAACAGAGAAAAAAAAAACTTGGAAAGTACATTGGAACTAGGAAAAGAGCTTTCTCCTATACTAAGATTTCCTCGTTTTGTGGGGAATGTCGCTGTCAAATGTCAGAAACTTTTAACTGTGATAGAACTAAGAACTCACCAAGGACATTACGACTGCTTTGCTAGCGTTTTGGTTTCTCAAGAAGAAGAAAATACTTCAGGCAGTATTCTGACTGAACTTTAGTGTGTGCAGGAAAAAACCAACAAGGGTTTGCACACTATAAATAAGACATTGAAGTAGGGAGGGGCACCATGTATTGTACAGAAGCTGCAAAAAAATTTTATTGGCCTGGTCCAAGCCCTTTATAATCCAAAAGATGGAAAGCACTAAACCCCTCCAGGGCCCTGTGTATTTATGTACAGTGTACATAATACTTCATAGATAAAAAAAGAAATACATGGCTAGGTAGAGCTGGCTGTATGTACCTGAGAGTCGTTTGTATAATCTGCTGCAAAAAAATCACTACACCTGTGAATAAAGTATTCTATGATAAATCTAGCAACAAGTGTGTGACTCTCATTATTTTTCAGCTCTCTTTAGGCCACACCAATTTAATTTCTTGGTTATCGGATTCGCCGCTTCAATTTTTTTCTAATTTGCAAATAAAAATAAAAATTCAGAATCAACTGCAAAATGCTCATATTTTGCCCTGAACAGTTGAATACAGTCCTTTTTATCCTACTTGTTAAAGTTATTCCATCTTTCAATGCAGTGGTATCATTAAAAGTTCAAAATTCATTGCTTAAATTTTGAACCGGCCTGGTATGTTGACTTCATGGCTCCTATCGTACCATTTTGGGCCATAATAGGATGCCTAGGCCTGTTTTTATTTTTATTATTTTTTCGCCCGCCCGCTCCATTATTTTTCTTGAAAAATCCGTTAACCAAGAAATTAAATTGGTGTGGCCTTAGGGGAAAAAAGCAAACAGAAACTAAAGGCAAATGATGTGTGATATTGCTTTATATGTCATACCTGGGCTGTTCTTTACAGGTGTTCCAGCCAGTGTGATAATTAGTGTTATCACACAGGCTATGATTCCATACAAAGATTCAAATGCGTTTTGCCACTTTCGAAAATTCAAAATTAATACTGGATTCAGAGGGAGTTGGTGTTATGATTTTTGTTAGGGGTACCAAACTTTTTCAACTTGCACATTTCATATTGTAAAATTTCTCGGATGGGTATGACATACATGTAAACTAGAGTTCCACGATCTCATACCTTCGCCAAATGAAGTTAGCCTTTATGAATAAGAAATTATATATTAATCCCCCTGATTATGCAAATAGGATTCTCAATTGCATGAATTATATCTGTTGATCATATTCTACACCAAAAGACAGTCTTATCTTAACAAAGAATGCCATCATAGCATTTCCTCATAAATTATGCAAATGTGGTCCTTATTTGAGTAAGTTATGTTTAATTATGTTCACCTTCACTTAACTTTCAAACACCCCAAGTATGAAATTCCAGTTACCACCATGCAATTATAACATTTTCTCATTGATTATGCAAATTAAGTCTTCATTTGCATAATCGATATCTGCCTGTGTTTCTCTCGTTCTTAATAACATATGTTACAAGCTTGGACTTCCAATAATGGAATGCAGCTGATTTAGAGAATTTCCTCATTAATTATGCAAATTACATTCATATTTGCATAATTATAATGTCATTATGTCAAGCATCACTTAAGCTACCTACATACCAAAATTCACGATGATCCATCGATCGGTTCTTGAGTTATCCTCTTTTAAACATTTGTCCTTTAAACCCCCCTGCAGTTCTAGAGCAAGCAACTAGGGGGCTCAAACTCATGTCACTTTATCCCCAGCACAAGAGCTATCTACCATCTAAATTTGGTTACCCTAGCTTGTCTGTATCATGAGATATCAAAACCGGAAGTTCTGCTGCAGTACCATGACAAGCCGCCAGGGGGCCCAAAATCTAAGCATTTTGAGGTCTCATCAAGACCTACCCAACTACCAAATATCAAGTCAGTCCATTTAAGCCTTCTCAAGTTATCGTGTTTACAGACACACACACACACACACACATACACGAACGCCTCTGAAAACATAACCTTCTTGGCGAAGGTAATAAGATACAACACAGCGTATTTCTCATCACCCTGTTGTATTTTACCGGTAGGCCACACCAATTTAATTTGCTGCTTCTGGGATTTTTTCAGAAAAAGAAACAGGCCAAGGCACCCCATGATAGCTGGAAATGTTACAATATGAGCCATGAAGTCAACACACCAGGCTGGTTTATAATTAAAACAATAGATTTTGAACTTTTAATGAAACAAAATTGCATTGTTACATTGAAAAACTTTAACAACTAGGAAGAAAAGGACTTTCTTCAACCGTTGGGGCCAAAATATGTCTCATTGAGTATTTTGCCATTGATTAAGAACAATTTTTTTTTTTTTTTTGCAAATCAGAAAAAAATAGGGCGAATCCGAGAAACAACAAATTAAATTGGGGTGGCCTTACATTGTATATCTTATAGTATTGGGGGTAGCAGGGGCCTCAGCTACAATGTTCAAGTCAATTCTCGGTAGCTTTTTTTTTACAAAAAATCCAGTTTGGGAAGCAACATATCCATCCAAACCCTGATACCCAGAACCCGTGCATCTGCTACTGAGTCCCGCTATCCCCTCAGGAACAGCAACCACCTGACTGTTGAACTTACCAAAACCACCAGAGGCCAGAGAACATTCTTTCACCGAGCAACGTCACTTTGGAACACTCTCTCCACTGACGCTCGCACTGCCACCACTATTGCCTCCTTTAAAAGGAAGCTATGGGACTCTCTAGGCGACTCCTATAAGCCTTAGGTGTATGACCCTGACCTCTCCACGTTAATGTATTGTATTGTTGTATCGTGCGTGTAAATGTTTGTCCTGTCAGCAGGGCAAGCCCTTAATAATAGCCTCCTGGCTAGTTGGGCTGCCCTGGCTGTACAATTTGTCTTTTTAACAGCCGAACGAATAAAATAAACATATCCATCATCATCATAAAAGTGGCAGGGAATTTTCAAGATCCAAAAATTCTTGCATATGCTATTATCTTGAGTGTAGTGAATGACAGTCTAAATTTACAACAAGCTGACATCCTAAGCTAGCATATTAGATCCACCCAATGTGGGAGTGTCAAAACCAAGATTAAGGTCACCTGCATCTTGGCATGAATCCCTCACAGTTCTAATCTTGTAACATAAGGCCACACCAATTTAATTTGTTATTTCTCGGATTCGCCTCTTCATTTTTTTTTTGAATTGCCAAAAAAAAAGAAGATTCTGGTTCTGAATCATCTCAATAATGCTTACATTTTGACCCCAACCGTTGAGGAAAGACCTTTTCTTCCTAGTTGTTACCATCTATTCTAGTGTCAATGCAGTGGTTTCATTAAAAGTTCAAAATTCAATATTAACTCAGCCTTTTGTGTTGACTTAATGGCTCCTATTGTTGCATTTGAGGCTATAATAAGATGCCTAGACCTGTTTTTATTTTTATCTTTTTTGCCCCTGTCGCTTCATATTTTTTCTGAAAAAAATCAGAGAACCAAGAAATTAAATTGGTGTGGCCTAAACAAAGGTCTCTTCTGCCATCCGGCAGATAACACAATAAGGCTCCTGGCAGTGGGCTTCAAACCTTCACACAGATCAATACCTGCAGGTAATGCAATTAAATGTGAACAGCGAAGCATCTTCTCAGCAAAACAAACTGGCATGTAGAAAGAATGGTAAAAAAGTTCCTTCCCACACCTGTACATACATGTGTTCATGTATGGTGCATAGGGTGGTGCCAATCTCGGTTGGGCCACATTGTGCAATTACCAGTACTACGTATACAGCAGGGGGCTACATGTAGTCGGTAGTGGTGTGTGTTGAACTCCCATATATATTTACGATGGCATGTAAGAAAGCATCAGTTTGTTGGCCCCTCAACTACTTTGTACATGTAATGCCTCACGTATGCAGTCCAAGATTTAACCTTCTGTCATTCTGCCCTTTTCCTCAAGGTGTCCTTCTTGTATACATGTTTAGATATACTTTATCCTGCATTTATATGATACGACCATAGAACTCTGCATCTATCCAAGGACGTTCGACGTGATGAGAGCTCCTTGATCTACCAAATCAGCAAATATAAAGCTGTGGCCTTAAGTTAAATGAATTTTGTACAGTCTTGCTGTCCACGATGGGGAAGTCTCCGATGAGAGAAACCATCGATGAACGAACCACACACTTCATCAGTTCATCTAAATACATTGTAAGGTAAGTAACAGTTTTAACACTTTACAAAAATTGATTCTACTAAACAAACAGGCAAGAGGATGCAACTGGCAGGCCACATCCTACGCCTACCAAGCCAGCGCCACTCAAAGACGGCCATGACCTGGGTGCCACCAGGGGGCAGAAGGAAGAGAGGTCGGCCAAAGAACACCTGGCGAAGAACCTTTCAGGAGGACCTCAAGAGGGCCAACATTGCCTGGGAAGAGGCTGAGGAGGCAGCAGCTACTCGGCCCAGATGGAAACTTGCTGCCCAATGTGCCTGTAGGCACAGGAGGACCTAAGGTCTAAGGTAAGGTAAGGTAAACAAACACGGCGAAGAAATAAAATAGTTAACACTGGAAAAACATCTATTGTGCGTTTGATCCGGCACGCCGGTGCTTTATAATATATATAGACCGCCCTTCGACGCTTCGAGTGTAGCGAATTGTTCAAACATATGACATCCAAGCGCTATGATATAATTGAAAACTATGTAAATTTGTTCATACATGTTTCAAAAAGAGAGAAGAGATCCTGTAGTTAGATCCTATAGATAGAAAAATAGCATACGAATGTAACAATTGCTTCTTCTATTCTTGTTACCAAGTTATTTAACTTAAGTGCATTTGAACCGTGTAGGGCGTGAACATGCAATAAAGTTCATTGTCATTGTCATTGTTATACTACCCCACTGTTTACCAATCTTCTGATCTGAACTTGATCTCATTTCCCAAGTACAGTACAATATTCAGCAATTACAACATGGGCTGTAGTCGTATTCTGACAGCGTGTAGAGGTTTCCGCCAAGACTTGCATGTACATGTAGCTAGCGCCTTTATGCATGCGATTTTTTGCATGACCCTCCTTCGAAGGCAATTTTTTTCCATGGCCCTCCACGCACCAGACCTCCCCCGGTAAATATCGTACAGTCCTAAAATGAGGCGCAAAAATTTGTTTCGTGCACCGGTATGCAAATCTTGCATCTACGCGTCTCTGATTGGTTGTTGCGTCAGTGTCTGCGGTCCGCTAAATTAATAATATATAATAAAGCTCGATCGATCTGACGTCTTTGTTCGTAAATACTGTATTTCCCTGTTGGAGCAAGGTGTGGTCAGGTAAGGAGAGTTTCTCTATTGCATTCTTTACATTTACCTGCCAGAATAATTTCCAAATGAATACCAGTAATTCTCAATTGTTGATCAACTGCAAGTAGTGATCGCTGCATTTTTGTTTCATTTTCAATGTCAATGTTAGAAAACCTATTATACAACGTTTCATCACTCAGGTGTACGTCAGATTAGGGAGCTAGAAAAGGTCGATCAGCTCGAAAAATCTATGTCTCTCAGCTTGCAGGGGTCCAAAGAAAAAAACAGAATGGGGGCATTTCGAGTATTTCGAGCCCTGATTTGTAACATTCTTGCTTTCTTCATTGAAGACAACTTGTGACAGCTTTGAAGATCACAACCTGATCACGTACAACTCAATTTGAAGATGGACAAGCAACGGAGTACTCCAAATAACAACAACCCATTTAAGGACAGAAAAGAGTCATCAGAGTAAGTCTTTCTGATATTTGTGCTATAGGCTGTCACTGAATATTGTCCATCAAAAGTATTTTTTATTCATTTACTAAGTATATTTTAGCCAGTGCATCCGATCTCAGAGCCATTTTGAAAGTGAATCAGTTTCGCTTTCAGTTTTGCTTTCAGTTTCGCTTTCAGTTTCAGTTTCAGCTTACTGTAAGTATCTTTAGATTCGCGGGGCCTAAAGTTCGCGGTTTCGGGAAAATGAACAATCTGCGATTCGCGATTTCTCCTTTGCTATTCAAAGAATAACTTGTAAAATGTATAATGATAATAATAATAATAATAATAATACTTCGTGTCCTGGCATTTATCTCCTAAAATGCGGCGCTGATTTGACACAAAAATTTGTTTCTTGTACCGCGCGAGGCTGCCTGTATGCTCTGTCGGTATGCAAATCTTGCATCACATGTCCGCGCTAGGCGTTTCTGATTGGTTAACGTTGTTGCGTCGGTGCATCTCTTCCTATCCTTAAATTCTACCATCTTCCTATAATTAAATTCTACCATCAGAAATTTTTGTGTTTTTCCTGTCGAGCTGGGTGTCGTCTATTAATTGGTTAATATAGTTTCTTGCTGGACGACCACGACTTCTTTTTCCATGTGAGGGCTCCCACAGTAATAACTGGTTTATGATTTCATCCTCACTTCTGTAGCAGTGTCCGATGAACCCCAACCTTAGTTTTCTTATTGTTTCGCTCACTGTGGGTAGATTTTCATATAGTACACCATTTGGTATCTTTCGGTACCAGTGTACATTTTTGACAATTCTAAGCATTTCTGTTCACTTACAATAAGGTACATTTGTAGTCCAAATAATATCTAACCTAGTAGAAATTGTGAATGTAAGATTATATATTTGTTTACCGGTATTTAGATTTAAGCTACCTGCACAATAAAAATCCTGATGATCCATTGACCGATTTTTTTTAGTTTTTAAAGAAATGTCCTTGCAGTTCCAGAACGAACTGCTAGGGAGCCCAGACTCATTTCACTTCTTCCCAAGCACAAGAATTATCTCAACCATGCAAATTTCATGACCCTAGCATGTCCAGATCACGATATGTCAAAACAGGACATTCTCCTGCAGTACCATAACAAGCCACCGGGGGACGCAAAAGCTAATCATTTTGGGGTGGGGTCGTGTGGCGTAGCGGCAGAGTGCCCGACTCGGAACCAATAGGTCCCGGGTTCGAGTCCTGACATGCCACCGATCTTGTGCCATTGGGAAAGGCACTTAACACGACTTTCCTCATTCCACTGAGGTGGAAATGAGTATTGTATTGTCCCCTGTGTTGGTGGTTACATCAATATAAGTTTTAAAAAAACTTGAGTGTGCCGTCACCACGTCTTGTGATTATATGTTGGAATGTAAATAAAAATAATAATCATCATTTTGAGGTCTCATCAGGACCTAATCACATAGTTACGAAATATCAAGGCAATTACCCCAGGCATTCTGAAGTTATCGTGTTCACAAACAGATACATGCATGCTCCCCAAAACATATTCAATTCACAACTATTAAACCTTGATGTAATATTGTGTACCTGCAACAACATCCCAGTGCGCTGGTTAATGTCACTACTCAAATTGCCAGAAAGTAAGTCATCAAAATAGTACAGTGCGATCTCAACATTTAAACATTTGACTTATTTTTTCATTTTTTTTTGTCTGGTAACTTAGGGATGCATGTTGCCAAGAAGTCCGGCTCACTATCTTTGAGGAACACATGTCCCAAGCAGAATTAGATGAGCTGAAAATGTGTGCTGATGGTTCTGCTACTTTTGAAGAAATGGCACCAAAACTGACATCAAAACTACAAGATGCAAAAGACGCCAGTGTTACCTTTGGCATTGTTGGTGATGCAGGGGCGGGGAAAAGCACTTTCATCAACTCTTTCCGTGGTTTAAGACCCGATGCTGAAGGTGCCGCCGAAGTCTCAGCCGTCCGCCACACGACCAACGAAGTCACGCGGTACCCTGTACCACACAACAAAAACATTGTCTTTCTCGACTTTCCTGGAGTCCTCTTCCGAAGCACAGAACATGGTGTGGTAGAAGAGTTCAACACGAAAAGCTACCTCGACCTTTACGGCGCACACATGGAACAATGTGATCTCTTCCTCATATTCGTTACACTACGAATGAGCAACAACATCATCTGGATTGCAAAAGAAGCCAGAAAAATGGAAAAGAGTGTCTTTTTCGTCCGGTCAAAAGTTGACATTGACTTAGCAAATGAAAGCAGAGATCACCCCTGGCGTTTTCCCAAAGGCACCTCCCATACCACAGAGGAAGCACAGAAATTTCTCGGAAAACTGCGCCAAGCTACAGCACAGGAGCTGAACAGGCTTGGGTATGGTGAGGTCAAAGAGACAAAGGTGTTTGTCATCTCTGGGGTACTGGCGGATGTACATGCCGGTACATACGACATGTCCAATCTTCGGATAACTATCTACAACACAGTGTCGCCAGACAAACAAGCAGTTCTCATCACCAGCTTGCCAGACTTTGCAATTGACTCAGTACATCACAAAGCAAAGAATCTCAGATCGCGGGAGGTTATTGGAGCAATCGTTTTGAATACAGCTGTCAGCGCTGCCCCTCTGCCAGGACTTGGGGTCGCCATGGATATCGGTAAAGTCCTTTTAATAGTCAAGAGTCAATAATTCGCATCAAACATTAAAACAATAAATCCACTACGTACATCACATTGTGTATTCACCTTTAATTTTATGGAAACAAAATATACATGTACTTGGTTAAATAATATCAGAATCAGCAGCCAATCTTTTGGATTTCGCAAAAATGCACATTGATACTGCCATATTCAACAAATACACTCATGTTCTTCAGGAGTCCTCGTAGGAGGCTACCATCGCGTCAAGGCAGCATTGAGTCTCAACGACAAATCCCTCAGGCGACTAGCAGAGCTAGTAGAGAAGGACTACAACAGCCTGAAGACATTTGTTGAGAGAAGACTAGTGCTGGGAGAAAGGATAAAGAATCCGAGCGCTCCGAGCTATTGCGGCTGCCACAGCATCTGGACTGACAATAGGCGCCCTCGCTGTCACAAGTCTAACAGTTAACATCGTCCTTCCTATTGTTGGTGGAGTCATAGCAGCACCAGCCTCAGCTGCACTTGTGTACATTGTCATGCGAGAGATGATCAACGAAATGGAGTCATGTGCAGTTAATCTCTTCAACTATGCATATGGATTGGACCCTGGGTATGTACAGACCAGTTACTGTGTAAAAAATTTCTAACCTGAGTTTTCTAATCATAACTAAAAAAGTCCTAACCTGAGTTTTCTAATCATAAACAGTACATTCAAACTTGTACATTGTTTCATCTAGCAAAATTAGTGTGGATGTAAACGAAAGAAAAATACTTTAATATAGACTTTCATCTTCCATTTCATACCCACAGCCCAGCACACATTGGGATACTTGGGAAGGAATGCTCCAGCAGAACAGAATTCCTGAACACCATCCGTGGGCTTCGTAGTAATGATCCAGGCGCAGCTGATGGAAAGGCTATCAAAAAGCCTACAGAATACGCATCTTCTAACAACCTTGTGTTTGTGGAGTTTCCAAGCCCACGGGTTAAGAAGACATTTTTTCGACGGAAAATCGACAAAGACGCATACAGAGAGAGCTTCGGTGACAAGTTGAAGCAATGTGATGTCTGCCTAGCTTTCATTGAAGAACTCAAAGACATAACTGATGAAATGATCACTGTTGCCAAGATGGCAAGAGAGGAAGAGACATCAAAGTGCTGTTTGTTTGGTAAGCAAGACATTCCATTATTTTGCAAATACATGTACATAACATGTTAGTAACTACTTTAAATTTTCGTATCTATCTCACATTAAATTTGAAATTAGATTTTCCACCGAGTACATTGACTGTATCAAGTGTATGTTTAATTTATTTGACTTTAATTCATATTATGCTCATGACAGCAAGGCAATTTCCAAATGCATACTATTCTTTTCCTTCCTAACAGGCCAAATAACAGCCATCTTTCAACAGACCAGAGTGACATGATCAGCAACTGCCAGAGGAATCTTAAGACACTGTATGGTGACATTGATGCATCTGACATATTCATCATCAGTACTGAGTATGAGGCAATGACTCGCGACAGAGGACTGATGCCTGCCTTAAGACATGCCATCTTCAAAGAACTTCAAAAAGCTGACAAGACAGATAGGTAAATCAAATACACAAATACAAAAATATTGTATTAAATGTAATTCTACAAGTACATACTTGATGAAGTAATGTTGGCAATGATACGCTCACCGTACAGATGTCACAGTGAAAACAGTGAACGTAACAGTGCCGTTAAAAAATCAGGAATTACAGTATCTGTGTTTTTTTTTTCAGAAACATGATGTACATGAGGTCTGACACGCTGATGTTGAATGACGATGATGCAGGAACCATCTTGAAAAGTCTCTCGAACAGTTTGAGAGGGATAGAGATGTTAGGACAGAACCACTCTGACGATGGGACTGAAGGACAGAACCATTCAGACGATGTGACAGACCTGATAAAGAGCAAAGAATACTGCCTGCCGAAGTGGGACCAGACAACCATTCGGATAGGTGAGATTGGGTGTTACCTCCTTGAAAAATGGTATTGTTTTTGGCCTGTCCGTGTGTGTGCCTATATGTCTGTCTATGTGTTTCTGCACATTTGTAGTCATCATAACTTCAGATCAATATTTGGTATGTTGGTAGGTCGCAGGAAGGCAAAGGTCAAGGTAAAATATGGGCTTCCTGGAAGCTGACTTTGATCAAATCGAGAGTCATATACTAGTAAGGATACAAAAACAAATAGAGCAATCAAACCCATGCATCCAAAAAACCATGTACCTGGTATCCAAGGTTTTCTCAAATCATCATGGAAGTTCACCTGTGTTGAGAGTAATCATATGTACTATTGTTTGACACATTTTCCAATCCAGGTATTATCAGTGACCGTGGAGCAGCAACTAACACCTTCATCAGTTCTCTCCTGGGTTATCGTGAGAAGGTGGCCTCCCGTACAGCAGCTGGGTCCACACAAACAGAGTACACCTCAGCTGACACACAACGCCCACAGAACCTCACTGTGGTCAGATTTCCTGCAGTGTCATTTCAAACAGGTGACAGTCCTTGACAATCTGCTTAAAAAATTGCTGAATAGCGTTAAGTTTTGGACTGACAGCTCATGTACATTATATAATACAGAAAAGAAAGGTTGCAGAAAAGCTATTTGACAGCTTGTAGAATAATATGTCATTTAGAAGTGAAAGGACTGCTAGTTAAAGCACGTGTACATGTGTCATCTTCCTGCTCAGTCACAGATGCTTGCCATTTCATGCATGTAAATTGTAAGGCCACAGCAAGTACTTTTTATGGATGACATCAGCGAGTGCATTAATTTTCGCCTAATTTTGGAGAGAAAAAAACAAGAAATTTTGTGTCTTCCTGACAGTGGTCACCATGCCAAAACTGGGCAAAGATGTCTGTTGCCATGCCGGAAGGTGGATGACAGATAACTAGAGGAGACATTGGAAAAGGCTCTGATTTAATGTTTTGTTTCTTACTTCGTTGCAGTGATATGTGATGCTGGCTGTGTATATGTGATGTTCCCACTAAATCAAAACCAAATTTTGTACAATGATTGAGTAAAAAATGTAGGAACCTTATTTTTTCGGGCCGCCTTGTTTTTTTTCGCCCGCTCGTATTAGATTTGGGCGGAGGATGTCATCCATAAGATTTACTTGCTGTGGCCTTAATAAAAGAACACAGAATAAACTAATCATTTCTATTAATTTATTTTTATATTCCATACAAACAGGGATAAAAGAAGACATTAAGTCCAGGTACATGAACTGCCAAACGGACAACATCAACAGCTGTGACATCTTCCTTGTTCTGTGTGGAGAGGTGGTGGCAACAGAGACCATCTGGCTAGCAGTGGAAGCAATGAAGAAGAATAAGAAGGTACATGCCGGTACATGTATGTTAAAACAGTTACATCATGTACAATGGCACAAATATGTCATTGTGATTGTATGCAAATAAGAAAGGTGTCAATTTCAACCTTCCAATATCAACCATAGAAAAGCACTGAATATTTGTGTAATTCTAAGCAGTTTTACTTTTGACCTGCATGTAAACTGGGCAATACATTTCACTTAGGCCACAGCAAGTAAATTTTATGGATGACATCCTCCGCAGACTCCAAATCTAATGCAAGCGGCCGAAAAAAAATTATTATTTTTTTTTTCAAAATCAGGCCAAAATTAATGCGCGCACTGATGTCATCCATGAAAATTACTTGCTGTGGCTTATATGTCTATCTGAAAAAATGAATGCTGGTATGAAAAACCATTTACTACTTCCAAATTCAAAAGGAATGCGTTCCACCGTAGAAGAGTGCAGCGACCTAGCCATTCCTTACTTTACATTATATACAGGTGCTGTTTGTTAAGTCAAAGTTTGACACACACAACAGTGGGCTTAAACCTCAAGAAAGAGAAGCCACCATGAAGAGAGTAAAACAGAGCCTGGCTGATGCAATTCAGGTAAGATGACAAGTAGTTGGTGGAATGTTTGTGTACAATTATGGTACATATGATGAACATCAAACCTTTACCTTTATTTTACAAACCTGTTATTTTTCATATGTTCTCTATTTAGCCTAATTATTGTTATTATTATTGTTATCATTATTATGCTTTTAATTGAAATGGGGGAGGACTACGTGTAGAATAAGCCCTAAGGCTTTTTTTGTCCTCCAACACATGCATTTTGTTTAGGTTGATTATTCTATATTTCGTTTCCTTCGATTAGTTTATTCACTTACTGTATTGTTTTTTTTATGTATGTGCAAATAAATATAAACAAAATAAGCAATAAGCAAACCCTGTTTCTCCTTGTAGCTTGCTGTTTATTCATACTTTAATAGACTGGAGCTAGATAATAAAACTATTTACAGTTTTCTTCTACATAACTGCATAATATGAAAGCTGCTTATTAATGATTCAGCGTAATCAACCAAAATTATAGAATTAATGTTATTTGAGGGAGATCTTTTTAAGTTTAAGGTCAAATACATAATGTACATGTAATCAACATTTGCCTAATGCTATTTTTTTACCAATTCCAATCTGTGGAATTATTAAAATGTGTGATTTCTGTGTGAAATCTACAACAACAAGACCATCCTGTCACTATCCTGTCACTTATTTGCAAAACTATCACTGTGCATTAAAATATAACATATAGTATTAACTAAGTTACTTCTGAAACGACGTTCCACATTTTTATTCACAAGAACAAGCTCAGTGCCGAAGGCAGCACGACAACAGTGATGTTGGATGACCTCTTCCTGGTCAGTGGCAAGTGGGAAGATGTCATGCGAGGAGCTTTTGACATGGTCAAATTGAGACAGACAATGATCAATGAATTGAGTGATGAACTTCAAAAGCAGGTAAAGGATTGTGACCTGAATCACATTACAAAAAAACAGCTAGATACTATTGCCATTGCGATCAGTTTTATATTTAGAGCTTTCTGTTTCCTATAACGTGAAAGTTTGCATGGCTGCATATGGCGGCGCCCATCTCCGTTTCTGCAGCCCTTGGGCCACACACAATTGTGCATTGCAGCAAGTCCATTAGTAGTGGTGTGTGTTTGACTTCCATATAGATTGAGAAATTATCCACAAACACAGGAAGTCCATGCTACACTAGCTTACAATTATATTGTTCTGCTTATTAATGGTTGAACATGTCTTCCCAGAATTATAAAATATTTCCTTGTGACTCTTGTGCCAAGTAGGCAGTAACTAGTATCCCACATGTTGTCCAAATCAAGCGAAACATTGTCAATGTATAAACAGTACAGTTACAGTAACTGAAATGTTAGTAAGTCCCATTGTGAATGTGTTTAGTGTTAACGTTACATGTACTAAAGGTATTCTAATCAAGTTAAACATTATGTGTCCCAACAGGCATTTGTGATGCTGTGTAAAGACTACTCCCCAGGTATGATCCCCACCAAGTCTGCCCTGCTGAAACAGATGGTGTGGACACAGGCTGTCCAGTCAGGAGCTCTCAGACCATGGACTGGACTCATGGTGGACACACCAGTAGACCTCGGTAATGTTTTCTAATTCTGTTAGGATATACACTGTATAATCTTAGTAACGGCCAAGATATTTCACCTTCTACAAACAGTCATTACACATAATGTCATTAGCACAATCATGCACAGTCCTTTCTTCATCTTGCTCAAGCTCACTACATGTACATGTAACTGTTACAGTTGAATTACACGTACCAGGGCTCGAAATTAAAGGTGGTCCGATGGCCACTGACCACTAAAATTTAGGCTGGGACAACTAAAAAGACACTTTGGGACATTTTTGCGACAATAGAAAAATAATCAACATCATAATCTCAGCCCTTCTTTTGTTTATCAGGCACACGTCCCGGCTTTTGAATTCAGAAAGGTCCCCCCCCCCTGAATTTCCTGTCTACTCTGCAATTATAATGTGCCTGGGAGTGAACATAAGCAAAATTAAGTTGACTTCAAGTTGAAGTCATACAATATTTAAAAAAAAAAACAGGTTGGGACAGTTCATCCTCACTTTGGGACAATTGAAATTTATTTGTGGGACAGTGCTGGGACAATAGGAAGAAAAGTTAATTTTGAGGCCTGCGTCAATAACCCCAACAAAAAGTTAAATTATGACATTGTATAACAACAATCAGACTGCAAATCTGAACATATTGCCTCTGCTATCTTTGAAAGTTGACATTTAAGTGCAATTTGTGAAAACTGGAATGAATTACCTCTTAGACTATATGATTGTCATATATTTATATGTGTATTCATAAAAATGATAATCCATCTCTAAGTTAATGAAATGTATTGTTTCTCTTCTACAGAGAAGTTAAGGGAATCCTGTGAAGTCTATAAGAAGTGTTTTGGCCTAGACGAGGGTTCCCAGGAAGACTTGGCTGAGTTATCTGCCACAAAGAAGGGGTTTATCGAGATGTCTGCAGAAAACAAACTCCCCATGTGTAAGGGTCTTTTTGGTGCAACCAGGGAGGTTCAGTCAGATCTCCTTGGTGCAAATAATTCAGAGCTACCCCCAACCTCTATTCGTGACCTTGTTGGAATGGTTTCAAAGAATGGCAGCGCTCTTATGACCCTCGAAGTTGCAAACTACTCTTTCGAAACACCTGTAAACTATGGCTTACCTGAAGGTAAAGCCATGCATGTCGTTGCACATTTCCTGCGAAAGGTAATCGCTGAACAGGCAGAATGTGCACAGGCACTGTATGAGGAACTTTTTGTCACCAAGTAATGTGAGCTTTGTGTTATCATGAATAGGTGTTAAGGGGAAATGTTTTGTATCCCTGATCATCAGGATGGTGACATACATGTTACTCCATGTTACTGAATGTTCTCCTGTGTAAGGTGGAATATAGATTCATTGATTTGTTTATTTTGATTTTTCACAAAGTGTAAGGGAGGGCAAAACAGGTGCATTACGTGCTTTTAAAAGTTGCCCTCCCCATCCAAAAACACAATGTACAACATCAAAATTTACATAGTTAATAACAACAAGTATAAAAATACACAGAATTGGCAATCAATATAGAAGGTTAGCGTAATTCAAGTACAAATGTATATCTACTAAGTAAATTGTGTTGAAACAAGACTTTAGGTCTATACAAGCAATACAAGAACTACACCCACAAGAAGTGGTCCAAGTACATGGCAGGTCAAGACTGTAATGTGTTTTATCTCTTGTAATGTGTTTTATTTCTTGTAGGTGGCCTTGAGTAGTTTATGTTTAATATGATATAATATCCGACTGCAACCGATTGATTCAATGAATGCGTGATACTCATCATAGATTCTCCCTGATATAAATATTTTGTGAATTACACCTCAAAATAATTTGTTCATTTTAACCTGGTAATGTATAAGAGGTGTAATTATATAGTTTTTTGTTCCAAAGTTCATCGGTGGAGATATCAGTCATTGTCTATTTAAATAGATGGACCAAAGTTGTGAGCCAGGATCCTCACCGATAGAACAGTAAAACACATATATATATTACTCAATCATGCTATCAAGATAACTACCTTCCATGATGTATTGCTGACCATTATTACATGTAACAGTTAAACAACAGACATCCCAATCGGAGTCTATGTCAACAGAAACTCTGTCGATACTAGTTAATATCATCGTATGTTGTATAATTGGAAAATACACACATCAAACATTATCTATATCTAACCAAGGAGCTTGATTTAACTTCAATAATAATTGACATTAACATACAAGTGTACCTAAATTGATGGATAGTTTCAGAAACTGACAAATCTAAAATTACTGGTTATGTGGATGTTTGAATGTTCCCTTGTTTTGGGTTTTCTCTTGTTTTTGTATTCTACATGACTGTACAATAATCTGTTGCAGCATGATGTTGCAAGTGAGGGATGGATGACGCTGAAAAAAGATAACAAATTTCTGACGATGCATAAACTAGTAAGGAACAGAAGTCTATAAGGCCATGTTGATTTGATTATATGGATGACATCCGCGCGCGCATGAATTTTCGGCCGTTTCCAAAAAAAAAAGTTTTAAACCATACTGTAAATCGTACAAAACGGTTGCAAAATGAGCAAAAATATGCCGTAAGTTACAAAAAATAAAAGATAAAAACTATACCAATGTCGTAGAATGCCAAAATCAAACGAAAAAATACGAAATTGTAAAGAAATGAACTTAAAGACTAGATTATTCGCCAAACCATATTCTGTCCCATTTGTTCAACCTTCAAAACCACGTAGATTTCATAATGAAAACAACTTTTTTTTTTTTGCAAAACTTTTTTTTTATTCGCACGCGCGCATCAGTTTTGGGGTTCCCGGAGGATGTCATCCATATAATCAAATCAACATGGCCTAACAAAGAATTATGGTCAGTTACAAAGTTTTAAAGCTTTAGTTAATTCTAACACGAATTCCCGCCACTTTTGATTCACTCCTGATGTCATCACGCTTCTGAATTGCAGAGGTTGTTCTTTCCCCCACTCTGGATACCTTCAGATCTAAGATCCTGACCCTGCCGCTACCTTCTTACGGAACAGACTAGCAACACCACATATAAATGACCCATCCTGGCATGCAACCCCCTCCGATAGGTGACAGAATCTTCAGAAGGATGAAGGTGGTCACCTCAACAGAAAGAAGAAGAAGAAGAAGAAAATCATACATCTGATGAAGGTGGACATGTTCGACCGAAACTTCGTGGCGAGTCTTTCATTTCGTGTTGGAACTTTGTAACTGGACCTGTACCAACACGGATGAGTTATACATTGTAATCGTTCATCAGTCAACAGAGTCATTTCTTCAACCTTCAAAACCACGTACTAGATTTCATAATGAAAGCAACTTTTTTTTTGGCCAAACTTTTTTTATTCGCACGCTGGCATTAGTTTTGGGGTTCCCAGGGGATGCCACCCATACAATCAAATCAACATGGCCTAATCTAATTATCACCGATGCACATGATTGGTTGTAATCACACATGGTACGGTCCGTCCGTCCAGATTGCTGCGAATGCGCAGTTTTTTTAACGCACGTGCCGCGAGTTGGACGGCTCTGCAGGATGTTCCCCTGTTTCTTCAGCATTTAGGGTAAATTTCCCAGCTTTTTGTCAGCAAATTATTCGTCTTAAAGCGCGCAGGTAGTCTAAGGAACTTTTCCAGGGTGGATTTATGCCTGATGTTTGAGGGAGAGACGGAGTATTTCCTGACCGGACCAAGTTTGGACAAGAATTGAAGAAAGGAAGAGACTGTCGGCGTGGTGCAGAGAAGACTCGTTCTTTCATGAGGTAAGACAACAAACTCTCTTTTAATGTACTTGTTTGTATTTCTACCAAACCTGTAGCAACAAGTCACGTTATATTCTGTTGTGTATATAATAACGGTTATATTCCGTGTAAATTACAGAGCAAACTGGCGTGTTCCTCAGAACGGACTTCGCCTTTGTCCCCTACCTCGTAGTTCTATAAGCATGAACCATTTTGTGCTTAACTATCTTTTCTAGCATGTCTTTAGAAAGCACTGACTGTATTTTGTCTCTGTTGAGTGGCATGTTGAGAAGCTATGGGCTGATTTCCGTGCTGGAAAACTGTCAGAAACACGTTTTGTTTTGTTGGAAATTTCCGCCGCATCTTGTATTGTATTATAATATATATAAGAAGTTGTTTTCATGACACGGAGAACATAATTAAGATACATGGAGTGGCACAGTTATTTTGAGAGAGCCTATAGCATGGGCTAATTTCTGTGCAGAAACACGACCAGAAACACGTTCTTCTGTTGGAAATTTCCGCCCACGTGGCATTAGATTTGGCTGGTGAACACCTGTTGGAATGCGCCGCACGTGGTGCATAATTATTCAAATTGAATGTTCGGACTTTCCCGCCAAAAATTTCCGTAAACAAGGCTTTGTTTCTAGGGCTTTAAATACTGGATGCATGTGCTCTTTTGTGCACCCAAAATTGAAGGTGCCCCCTTTTTTTGGTAACCCCAAAAACTGATGAAAATGATGATTTCATTTCAAAGCCATTCAGTGTTGCCTGGAGTATTAGTTTTGGGCATATTAAGAGTTATTATTATGGATTCACCACTATGTGATGAAGACATATTGCTTTTCCTCCTGTTTCTTCTTCTCCTCCTTCTGCCATTTCTTTAAATTGATTCAACTCCTTGATTTTCGGGCCAATACATGAAATTTGGCATTAATGTAGAGTGAGCAAATAACCCCAGGCGTTTTTTTTTCATTTTTGTGATACAAACTTTTAGTATGGTTTTATTTGAGCTTTTTGGCTGTGTTATAAAAATGTACTATAGCAGTGTGTTACCATATTTAGGAATGAGTCATCAGAATGGCAATCTAGGGCAGGCAACAAATAGGCATGCAGCTTTCCTCTACTCTTCTTGCTGATTGGCTGTTGGGATTGATTGGGTTAACTCAATTAACACCTGTACAAAGCCATATATGAACTGCATTGAAGTGTTTTGGTAGGTATGTCAAGCTTTCCTGCTTTGGAATGCAGAGCACAAACACTTCTTTAAATTTTTTATCTTGAAAATCAACAGTTAACATTATGCAATTAAAAATCCTAACCAATAATGTAGGGATAGCTATCCAAATGTTGTCACTTCATACTATAGTTATATCAATCGTAAAGCATTGTTTTCCCTTGTATTTCTCCTTCTTTCCCTGCCATGTCGTGAAATGTTGTGAAGCCATGCTGAATTTGCTCCAAAGCAAACGTCGGCCTTTCTAGTTTGGTGTGTCCTGAATCCTGATGTACCTTTACTAGGAGAAACCTGTGATGATTGGGCATCTTTGGCCCACATCAAAGCAGATGAGAAAACAGTTGAAAAAGGTGACACAATGTTTTACAACTTGCATGTTTTAATTTCATCTCTTAATTATTAAGAACTTCCGGGCATAATACACAACCAGTATCACAGATGTTTTTCGCATCACACGGTTTATATGAACTTTATTGCTCGACAATCGTGCATGGTACAATGTGCAGCAGTAATACAACAATAGTACAAAACTAAACTATCTTATTACATTTCTTACTACAAACTACTATCTAATATAGTATGAGTTACAATATGGTCATCTATTGATGATACGGTCTCGCTTATGGAATGAAGTGTACAGAAATTGGCCGTATTTAGGCAGATATGGTAGTTGGACATGACAATAATTCATGGAATGTATCGTACTGTGTACCAGATTGGGTGAACTTTGTCTTAGTAGTAATAGTCTGTAACATTATCTATCTCTTTCTTTTCTATAGGTGGGACAAGTCATGACAAAGTGAATCCTGAGGGTTAAATGTGACAGGCAACTCCGGTCCAAATCTGTTGACTGAGGGAAATGAAGAATTTCTACAAGTAAGTCAGACTCTTAAATTCTTTTGTGCGAAAAATTGGTGTGTAAGGCAGGTAACATATTGTCGCCCATTTTATGTGTGATGTACTTGCTGACGCTCGGGAAGTCACCAGTAGATGATCATGTCTTTCTGCCAGTTTTTATTCACTGACGTCATCGCACTTCAGACTTCAGAGAGTCAAGGAGTGGATCATACATCTGACAAAGGTTGATGCCAAAAAAGATTGCTGGAAAATTTGTGGTTAGTTTCTTGGGCTGGAACAAAGCTTAAACTGTACAACTATGGATTTTACCAACACACGTGAGCTTTGAGCTTGAGCTGTACAATACACTGATTTTTTTTCCTCTGTCTTCAAGATGACAT